TATTATACCATTCTTTTTGACATCAATTTATCATTTCACATTAAATACAATATCTGATGTCAGACTTTTTCCAATATATAATGGAAGATAATGAATACAAATACATGTCACTACTTTTGATGTTATTCCTTGACTATGCAGTACAGTAAACATATTTAAAAGTACAAAACATGTTTTACATGGTGGTCACCTTGAAATTTAATATGGCTGCTAAATGACCTTGACCTAAAATGACATCTGATGAAATAGTTCCAATCAAAAATTGAATTTTGTGAGCTTATGTATGATTTTTCTGTAAAAGACGACCACTTACAAACTATTAAGATTTTCTACGTATTTAACAGAAAAATGAAATTGAATGACCTTAAATGACCATCTGACCATGTCACAAGTGCTATAAATCATTGACCATGAAAATATATTTCTAGACATCATAATTCTTATTGGAAGTGGTTTAGAAGTCGATATATTGACAAATATATGTTTTTCGTGGCAGCCATTTTGAAATTGAAGATGGCCGCCAGAATGACCCCAAATGAAATATTGTAGTTCATAGTAAAAATTTTGAATCCTGAGATCCTGGGTATGATTCTAATGTAAAATTTGACAATTACGTAATTTTAAAGATACCATACAATATTTGACCTTGAATGACCTTAAATGACCAATTTGTGGCAATCTGACCAGGTCAAATATGATATGATGGTATTTCTCGATCATATAAACATACTCTTAGACATTAGAATTATAATTCAAAGTGATTTAGAAGCGGAGATATAGATAAACATAGGTTTTATAAGGCTACCATTTTGAAATCCAAGATGGCCGCCATAATGACCTCGGATGAGGTGGTTCCAGGGAGTTGTTATTAGAAGGAGTCACAACAAAATCCTCTCTTTTGATCAGTCTACTTTTCCGACAAGATAAGAAAGCAGAGAGGTAGATAACGACGAGGTTCAATTACCGAATATGAGCATGCGCAGTAAACCTTCTTATGCTTGTGCGTGACGAAAAAGCATGGCAACTAGAGAGAGTGTCAGTTACATATCTATTAAACAACTAGAGTGCTGACAAGACTGCGCAGCAATGCAGAGTTATGTATGTGTACCATCCAAGATGGCCGTCGTAGTAAAGCGCCACCTTCAGGCTTAGTATACATATTATTACATATTAATAAGCCCTCTGACTGACTATTATTTCATTAATGATAACGAGTAATGGTAATAACAAATTATTAAACTATTGTAGCCAAAACAAGGCCAAGTGAAGCATCTTATTAAAAAAAACTACCAAGGAATAAAAATTAAAATCGTATACATTACACCCAAACACCGCAACGCTCGAGTTTCAAACATACAGGTAACTAGCTGTACTGAACTTTCTGAGTAAATTGGGGGCGCATTTGCAAACGATGGCGCTTAGCGAAATTTGATTGGCTAAATCTATGGTAGCCATCTTGGATGGTACACACACACAGTTCTGCGTATTTCGAACATCGAATACATTGCGGTTAGCGCTCTAGTATTCTTATTATACCTCTATGGTCAGTTATCAACTACACGCTAGCGTCAAACCGATACAACAAATATGCCCCTATATCATTTCCCTGCTACGAAAACATGTTCAGTTTGAACTCAAATTACGTTTCTGTACGAAACTGTAAGAAAATGAGACATAAAGAAAATGATAGTTAACAAGTTGCATAAACTATTTGTCCTAGTTATAAAATGGAGATACGTGAGGAAAATATAAAATATAAAGACAAAATTTTAACAACTGAGGGCGCAAGATCGTCGGAAAAGTACCCTATTGACAAAGGACAGGCAGTTAGTCACGGTTCTCTTTGAAGATTCAGTACACCGCGCTTCGCTCATTGGCTGTAGATAAGTAGATAAATGTGTTGTGACTCCTTCTAAATAACAACTCCCTGGTTTAATAATAAAGTTTATGTATTAGAAATATAATTTTTCATGATCATTATTGAATGATAGTTAAATGTATTAGCTCAAAGTGTACCTAAAATAACACGGAGCTGCACTTATGTTAATTGACGTAACGACTGTAGTAGTTAATTACTGTTATATTAATTAATCCTTGATTGATCTAAATTCGAATAGTTTCGATTAGTTTTATTGACAAAATCATTATCTAGTGTTTTGAATTATGATATAGTATTAATTGCATTTAGGATAATGTTTATTAATTATTAGTAATATTATATTTATTTTTAAATGCAAGTAGCGCGTATAATAGCGCATATATGCATCTTAATGTTTATAAGCCTCGCTCGTCCAGGGGGAAACGAACGGGTCACGATTTATGTTCGTCACGCTTGACTGAGCACATCGTCGAGTGACGACACTTTACAGTAGTAGATGCTAAATTTAGATATATCTGCCAAGGATTAAGTCCTGGCCTATAGGCGGCTATAATATAATGCCTTAATATAGGTACATAACTCTTTTATATTTGTGTACGTGCTTATATATTGTTGTTTTGCTTTACAGTTTAAATCGGTTAACAGTTCATTAGTTCATCGGAACTTAAATCAGATATTGCGTTTGAATAAATGCTACAATTGCGTTACTATATCTACCGTGTTTGAAGTTTATTACGCCCTCTACAATTATACGGTATGTAGTTTGGAACCTACACGTATGTAACAAACTATTTACCAGATAGTCTCATATATTTTATACCGTCAATATAAAATTCCAACTCATTTAGTTATAGGGCATGTAACTCATTTTTATATGTAACTGTACTGTTATTATATTGTATATTATTAATTTAACTGTAATTTAAATATTGTTTGCACTGTATGGTTTTTATATAGTTGTCTTGTAATTCAATCTGTATATGTGTGTGTATTCCTTGCTCTAGAAAGCAAATTTCATGTACTTTTTGAAAAATAAATATTTTTGCTAACAACGATAAGGCCCACAAGACTATTGATAATTGTTAAAAATATATTGGTGTTCTTCTGAATAAACAAATTCATCATCATATTCTGGCATGCCTCTATCTCTTTAACAATTTCCAACGCATTATATGTGTCTCCCTCATTAAGTACTAGTCTGGCCTTAATATAAAGGACAAGTGCGATTGGATGGAGAAACATCCTCCTATAAGAAGAGCTTTTGACTAAATACTGCAGAAGTTCATCAATAGCCCAGGCACTATGGCTTATTTCCCAAAGTATGTTTGTATGTACCTCTATAGCAGCAAGCCTATTAATATATGTTTCCTCTTGTTTAACTCTACACAATATGGGCTCAAACTCGGTTAGTACATCTTTCAGTTCATTGTAATTACCTAATAAATAATGATATTTTATTACAAGGATTTTTCCACCTATGCCTTCGTCGCTCCAGTTGCAAGGGAAGACCATTTCACCTCCTAATTTATAGTAATGCAACGGAGTATCCAGGTACAAAGCGAAAGATTCATCATTACCAATGTTTTGTAGGTATACTAACAAGTAAGTATAGACATCACCTAAATATCTATACAAACGTGTTCTAAACATTTTTCCATATCCCTTCGGCACTATCACTTCAATATTCTTTACAATTGGCATCATAATTTCCATTGGAATTTTTAGAGTGTCTGAGAGATCTAGATTTTCCTGAATACGGTTCGCAAGAACCGTAGGTAAAACAGAAAAGTCACATCCTGCAATTTTAGTAACATCTAGGGAATAATGGTGTGAACGGTATTTGCGTAACGATTCAACCAATATTTCAATCACCTTTGTGGCTTCTGGGTGATTCAAGAGTTTGGTCTTCAGTGTTGTGTAGTCAGCTTCATTGTCTCTATTGATCGCAAGGATATTGCAAATGAAAGTTATGACATACCTTCGAGAATTATCGGAACCACCTTTAGCAGAATCGAAACTGTTCATCACTTCTGTCCAAAGATCACTTTTTATTGCTTCCAATTTTGTTCTTACGTCGCCACAACACTTACTTTTGAGTTGACCAATCAAATTGTGTTTGGGAACAAAATAATGAGGCAGATTTCTGTTTTGATAGCATTCAATTAACCAATCTAGAACTTTTCTTATTAAATCCATCTGACCGTAACCTTTATGTGAAAATGTTTCGCACATCCACAAGCAAGCAGTCTTTATGAAATATGAACAGAATGGCGTTGGTTTGTCAGAATCACTGTATACAAAGCACCTGTTCTTTATTGCTTTAAGGACAAACATGCAGTTAGCGTACGGTTCACATATTTCCTGTATGAGCTCTCTCTCAGGTATAGAAAATGACAATCTCCAATCAGTATTTTTCGACGCACTACCTGTGTGTCCACATGCCACTACAAGACAATTTACACCAGCGATTTTATTTAACAATTCCTGTGATGGCCAGTTGTTTGGCCTATCTCTAGTAAAAAACCCACTAGTGAAAGGTGGCCATGATTGGCATTTTAAGCAATATACTAAATCTATCATTGGTGTTCCACTATCCAGGTATCCTTCATCCACACAAGTTGCTAATGCGGGACCGTGTACAACACTTTTATAGTCCTTCAAGTCAGTTTGATTGGATTTTATGAAATCGTTCGCCTTTAAATATACATCATTGTCAGGGTCACTTTTGAAATCATTGCTTTGTACTTTAAGCTTAAGGTACACAGGCTTATTTGGATCTTGCTCAGCCATTAAAAACCCCTCTCTCAGCTTTTCTTCAGACTGCCACAATACTATTGGAAATATTGGCCTACAGGCCATTTGATCAATATCGCCACGGACCCATTCAGGCATGCCTTCACTCTTACTTCCAACAGAGAAGAATTCCACTGGCCACCATACTTTATTTCTGAACACATTGTTATCCGTTTCTTTTTCAATCCTAATAACTGAGATTTCAGCCAACCTACCAATCATTTCAAGCGTGATGAATTCAGTGGCAAGTTCATCCATCATTCGACATGTTATCTTATTGGTGTGGCCTGCCATACTTGAATATTCATTCACCTAACTGTTGGCCTACAATATCTGCAATTTGATCCACAGTGATGTTTACACGTCGGTATAATACATTGACAAAATATTTATGGTGCACCTGAAAAAAATAAAAAATATTCAACTAAACTGCACTATACGTTATCGAAATGTCCGCCTAGACGTTATTAAAAATAAAGATAATTTAAGTGGTTATTCACTGTATCATTTTGACCAATGAAATTTTGGTACAAAGTACAACATTCTGTACTTTTGAAAACCTGATGGGCGGATCAAGGAGAAGCTGATATTTACATACCCATATTTATGTACTCGAATAAACGCCCTCTCCATTCATATTCATGTTTCACTCCAGTAGAATTATTGTTTTTTTTAAAATCTAGTGGGGATCTATACGTTTTTATGATCATACAATAACACATTTTGGGCAGTAATTGTGTTGTAA